AGCTCTCTTGTGGAATATGAGCCTACTTTTTCTACCACAGTATATACCCCCTCCCTCACCAGACTGTGTGCTACTGGACTTGACTAATTTAATTATTTATTAATTATTTTTACTCTGAGAGCATTTAACAAAATAAACAGGTCATTTTGCTGCAAATAAAACAAAATCAGGAAGCTCTGCTTGCAGGGATATGTCTGTCTGAGGGGAAGAGCAGCAGCTCACCTGCTGCATTGTTTTGAGAGGTAAAGCTGCCTAATTATTTTTTATTATCCCTGTGTTGTTTAGTTAACCAAATATTTGTCTTTTTGCCTCACACACATATCTAATGCCAATATACAAATTGCACAAGAGGATTATGCCAGCATGAGTCAATCCAGGGTGTGTTTATCCTTGGAGAGACATAAGCCTCTGTTTCTAAAGGCGGGTGTTTCTTATCCTTGTTAGACCTATGAATATCTTTCGCCAACAAAATTTGTCACTTTTCACTGTTGGCACGTCTGCTGCTAGAACAAACCCCACGGGCTGGCAGGGCTCCAAGTGGGGTGGGGGCTAAAGCCTCTGGGCCTGTAATTATTGAGTATTTATATTACAGCAGCACTCAGAGGCTTCTCACCGAGATACAGGCGTTGCTGTGCGAGCAGAGAGTAAAAGACTCTTCCTGCCCCAAACAGTTTATTTTACTGGTGATAAATAACAGACAAAAAGGCAGCACTATTGCAACACAGCTAATGCTAAAGAAAGACTGCAAAACCCATGAGATTACTCTAAAAATAAATGTTGGGGGTTTTATTTGTTTTATAGACAACTAAAATTCTTATGTTCTTAAAGCTAGAAAGTTTTGGGTTGCTGTAACAGCTGCAATGCTTGTTTACTCACATGACTCCAGAATGTAAGGTGAACACATCAGTCCAGGCCTCCTCCTCGCAGTCCCATCTCAAAGTTTCTTTCTGTTGAAGGGGAAGTGAGCAGGGGGTTGGTGGTGCTTAGTTGCCAGCTGGGGTTAAACCATGACACCTGTACACAGAAAACACTGAGTGAAGCTACATAGCAGTTTCTTGTGCCTTCCACTTGTGGGGCAGAAATTCCCTCAAGATTGCCCAAACTCAAATGTTTTCCCCACCCACGAAAATTATTTTTAAGAAAAGGAGCAGTGTTTAATTTTCACATATTTTCCTCCATTGTTGTCAGCACACAGTTCAGTTTCCTTTATCTATCCCTAACTCACTGGGATCCACCACTGCCAAATCTGTGGATTTGCTGGTCCATCCCTTGCATTTAGTCAAACGCCATTTGACACAGACAGCTGAGCAGGAAAAAATCCATGGAAGAAGTGGACTTAGACAAAAATATTTTTTAAAGGTGAAGGTCATGTCTTATACTTGTGTGAACTGGTCTGGCTCAGTTGCAAGCAGTGGAGATATCTAAACTAGGGAATGGTGAGGATTTGTTCCGGGAACACCATCTCACCATCCTCACTTTCTCTGTATATCCTAACAAGAATATCCAGCAGCATGTCTAAAAATAGGACTTAAGTTTCTCAGCTTCCCAGCAGAGAAGCATGCCAGAGCTACTGTGTATTCCTGTGCTGTGCCGGGGAGAGGAATACTCCTATGGCTGTGTAGGAGGAAGCCTTTGAGGGGAAAATCATCAACGATAAAGGCCTCTTTCATCTGAAATACCTAACATTTCAGCTCTTCAAATCCCAACACTACATTTTCTTAAAACAGGTCTCTATTATGTGTTAAACACATCAAATAGAGCAATTCAGTCTCATCATCTAAATTCAGTGTTGTGATAGCTGAATGAAATTGGGGCAAGCTAGCTAAAAAGGTAATAGAGGCTTTTCATACAGGCAGCATGTGAAATGCATCAGTGCTTTTCTTTCTCCAAGAACATAAAAAAAGGTATTTTTCCTCAGTGAGCTTATTTTACTGAGTCCGAGACCATTGCTGTGGTCCAGGACTTCCAGGGGTGCTTAGCAAGGTTTGGGCTTTATTCATGTAGCTAGAACCTGATCTGTGTAGGCAAGAGAGATGGGGGCAGTGGGGAAGAGAAATCCTCTCCATCCTTAGGTCAGTGGCTTAACCAAGGACACAGCAGTTTTCTCTGATCCAGTTCAGGCATTCCACATTTTATTGTTTTCAGAACGATTGGTTTTTGACACAGTGGCAAAAAAAGGCCACTATACAATGAAGTTGACAATGTGGGTACGGTTCACTCAATTAAAAAAAAAAACAAACAAACAATTGTTTTACTCTAGAGAATGCAGTTCTTATGTCCACCCTACATAAACTGTACATTAAAAGAAAAATCCTAACAGGTGCATCAATTAATGTATAAAGTACAACATATGTCACTTCCTGAAATCTCTGGGAAAAGAGGTCATTCAGTGTGCTCACATGGTCCTTCTAGCATGGCCCAGCCATGGTATTTCTCTTTTCAAACTCTGATAAGCAGTGTTTTTACCCCAACTCCTTATAGACAGAATGCTGTGGTTTCAGACAACTTAAACTTCCAGGACTGCAGACAAAGCTTGTGGTGGAAGAGCAGCCTGAGCTCTGGGAAGGCGCCAGCCCCACAGCCTTGGAGGCAGCAGCAGGGATGATGAGCAGGGATGGACGCCCAGGCAGTGTTTAGTCAGCACATTTTTCCCGCAGGCCCAAGGGCAGCCCTGTGTGCTGGGGCTGGAATGCTGCCCACGGACGGCAGCCGGGTAATGAGGGCGGCACTCCCAGCGCACAAACACTGCAGGGAATGCCAAGTATCCTGTGATGCAGGCCCACAGGTTTCCTATGCTTTCTCATTCCCATTGCTTTCTCATGCAACGCGCTCGGCCTCTTGTCTATAAGCAAATGGATATTCTCAGGTGGGTACATGGAGAATGTCTACAAGAACAATGTCCTGTTAATAATGTTCCCTAGTTCCACAGTCACCTGTACTTGAGGATTTAAATCCCTCAGAGTCCTAGAAACTAAAATTTCCAGTGCTAAACTTCCAGTGCTCCTGAGCGCAGACAGGGTAGATAAAGGCTTTTTCACAAGGTCAGAAATATGGAGGTAATAAGCAAAGTTACTTTCCCAAAACCACAGGACTCATCAGATGGCAAACTAATTAAACCCTAATCCAGCAAAGCCCTTATTGCGTATGAAATTTACAGCATGTGAATAATGACAATAAAATCAAATACTTAACCTGACCCACATTCTTAAGAAAATTACTAAACAGCATATGCCACACTACTTGATGCAAATCTATACAAACTGATGTGGATACCAGTATTTATCTAACTATGAAAAAAACAGTTTAGCTGCTTTGGCCTGCTCCACTGCTTCATGTCCTAAATTCATAGTTTCTTCTTTTTTTTCCCCCCCAAGAATCTCCCTTCTGTATTGCCACATGTGGCTCAGATGTCATTTAAGCTTTTAAAACCTGGTATCAATTTAGTGCAAATTAAGGAGACTGTCTTCTTCTGTTAGTAAGGTACAACCTAACTGCCTCTCTGGATCCCTCATGTCAGATGAACAGTCCCAATTCTAATAATCGGGAGATGAGTGGTTCCTGCACTGACAGCTCAGCTCTGTGCGAGTCCATCAGACAGGCTGGATATGAAACCAAATGTAATGCAGTTACCTGGACATTTTCCTCACGTTTCCATTGTGGAAACTCAAACCACAGCGATTCCACAAGGCAATAATGAAGTTCCCTCCTACTCACGATAGGGATGAACCCACACACCTATCGTACTCAAAGCTTATATTCACTAAAATACGTTTATCCTAACGCCTGCTCACACCTCCCCTGGGCTGGGAAGGCCACCCCTGCCCCGGCCCAGCTTCCTCCAGGGTCTCGGAGGGAGCCGACCGCGGGCTCCTCAGAGCGAGCTGCGAGCCCTGACAAACCCGAGGGGCTGAGGCGGGCGCGCAGACGGGACAGGGAGACAGCGAAGAGGGAAATGAGGGAAATGAGGGCTGAGGCGGGCACTGAGGGCTGAGGGACACGCTGAGGGCTGAGGCGGGCACTGAGGGCTGAGGGACGCGCTGAGGGGTGAGGAGGGCGCTGAGGGGTGAGGCGGGCACTGAGGGCTGAGGGACACACTGAGGGGTGAGGAGGGCGCTGAGGGGTGAGGCGGGCACTGAGGGCTGAGGGACACGCTGAGGGGTGAGGAGGGCACTGAGGGGTGAGGCGGGCACTGAGGGCTGAGGCGGGCACTGAGGGGTGAGGGACACGCTGAAGGGTGAGGCGGGCACTGAGGGGTGAGGAGGGCAATGAGGGCTGAGGCGGGCACTGAGGGGTGAGGGACACGCTGAAGGGTGAGGTGGGCACTGGGGGGTGAGGAGGGCAATGAGGGCTGAGGCGGGCACTGAGGGCTGAGGGACACGCTGAGGGGTGAGGAGGGCACTGAGGGGTGAGGCGGGCACTGAGGGCTGAGGCGGGCACTGAGGGCTGAGGGACACGCTGAGGGGTGAGGAGGGCACTGAGGGGTGAGGAGGGCGCTGAGGGGTGAGGAGGGCACTGAGGGCTGAGGCGGGCACTGAGGGCTGAGGGACACGCTGAGGGGTGAGGTGGGCGCTGAGGGGTGAGGCGGGCGCTGAGGGGTGAGGCGGGCACTGAGGGCTGAGGGACACGCTGAGGGGTGAGGNGACACGCTGAGGGGTGAGGTGGGCGCTGAGGGGTGAGGCGGGCGCTGAGGGGTGAGGCGGGCACTGAGGGCTGAGGGACACGCTGAGGGGTGAGGCGGGCGCTGAGGGGTGAGGAGGGCGCTGAAGGATGAGGGACGCGCTGAGGGGAGCGCCCCGGGGCGGCGGCGGGCGCGGAGGGCGGTGGCGGGGGCGGAGCGGGCGCGCTTGCGGAGCCCGGCGGCCGCGCATGTACCGCGCGGTGATTGCCCGGCGAGAGCAGAGGGGCGGGCCGAGCCGGGCCGGGTCGCCTCCCGCCCGCCTCCCTCCCTCCTTTCCTCCCTCCCTCCGCCGCTCCCCCGCCGCCGCCTCGCCTCCCGGCCTCCCTGATGCCGAGGGATGGATAGAGCGGCTGCCCTGCGAGCCGCCGGCATGCTGGAGAGGAAGGAGCGGAGCGGCGGCGAGGCGGCGGGGCCGCGGGGCTTGCCGGCCGTGCGGAGCACGCTGCAGCAGTGCGGGCTGCTACAGGACCTCATCGACATCTCGCTCTCCAACCTGCGCGGGCTCCGCACTAAGTGTGCCGCGTCCAACGACCTCACGCAGCAGGAGATCCGCACGCTGGAGGTACGGCGCGGGCTGGCAGCCGCGGGCGCCGCAGCTGCCGCCTCTGCCCCGCTCGGCCGTGGCCTGCCGCTGCCTGGCGCCCTGTCCTCTCGGCCCCGGGGCCGCGCCGCGCCTTCTCCCGCGGGCCGAGCGCTGGTGGCGGGGACAGCGGCGCCCTGGCTCCGCCGCGGAGCTGTCAGCGGGCCGGGCGCTCCCCGCTGCACAGGGACACGGGAGCCCGACAGCCCGGGGGCTGCCCCGCACCTATCCGCGCCCTGTCGGCACCGCGCTCCGCTCCGCGGCTTCCTCCGCGGCTTCCTCCGCGGCTTCCCCGGGCGGTGCCGCCGGAGCGCGGACAGGTGCGGGGCAGCCCCTCCGGTGCCCCGGGCTGTCGGGCGGGTGCGCGGGAGCTCCGTGAGGCACCGTTCGGCCGCGCCCCGGGGCCTTGCCGGGCTCCCGTGTCCCTGTGCAGCGGGATGCGCAGTGTGAGGCGCGGAGCAAAGGTGACTCGAGGCTCGCTGGCAGGAGGTGTGTCCCCACACCGCTGTCCTGGCGTGCTGGGAAAACTCCCCTTTGCCTCCTCAGGTCCTTGCTGTTTGCTCCTGATACTTCCTGCCCTCCGCTCTGGGCCTGTCTCTCTATCCCTGGCTCAGTTTCACTGATCTAATCTGATCCTGCTTCTCCCTCTGTTGCTGTAGCTCAAACAGCATCATGGACCGGGCTGGAGAGATATTCTGCTGTTTAGAAAGATTATATGAAATTCTTCAAACACAAAACATGCGCTGCTGTGATGCTCTCAAAGAACAGCTGGATCTGTATGAAGAGCTACATAAGTACATAGGAAAGGAAAGTAGATGTATTTTTCCTTAGTTAATTTGACCTTTAGAAACTAAAATAACGTTTCCTTTTACCTTCTGTGTAGGTAGTTTTGCCCTAAGCAAGCAATCCCCTCCTGTCCTCTTCTTTGATTTAAGTTTGATGTAAATGCTAGTGCTCCTCTACGTGGTACTGGAGACAGTGGAGCTGGATAGAGCGTTAGGCTTTTTAGGAAGAAAGGATCATCAACAACACTGTAACTGTAATAAACCTACATGCTGAAAAATACATCACATGAGAAATGCAGGTTGGGAAGAAAACCATGAAACAATAGGTGGTAGGTAGCTTTTGGCACAGCCTCCTGGAAATCTATAATTCTTCCTTTATTCTTCGTCTGACTTTTTTGTGGTTTTGGTTGGTTGGTTAGTTTGTTTTGTGGGGTGTTTTGTTTTAGTTGGTTCTTTTTTGCCCCCCAAATTTATAGTGCTGTTCTTCTTCCTGTCACCTCCAAATAGTATCCAAAAGACTATTCTCTGTGACACAATATTTGTATAACCTTTTGGCAGCCCTACTTGAGGACCTTTTCGATGCCCAAACAATGTCAATCAGCATAATTTCAGAAAATTATCATCACTATTTTGCTTGTGGACCTGTTCTAAAAGAAAACCTTTATTCACAAAGTGTAAAGGCATTTTATGACCTTGAGGCTCTTCTTAAAGCAACGATAGCTGTTGAGTGTGTGCACACAATCCTCTTCAGCATTTATCTGTTTAAACAAGTGGGTGCCACATTCACCGATGATCATAAGATTTATGTTCAGAAGAAAGTCTTTTTGATGTACAGTCCAGTATGTGATTTCTCCGGGAGTTCAACCAAGTTCTGGATCTCTGCCCGCACATGGAGCTGTGGGCATGGGTACAGACTCCATGTTCTTTGCGCTGTTGGGTTGCCTGTACCAAAACACATGTCAGGCATGGCCCGAGTCTTGTGCTTGACTGTGCCAGGCTGCAGTCACAGAGCCAGACTGCAGGAGCTCAGGGCCTGTGTTTGCTTCCCCAAGCTGTCATTGCTTGTGGTGCCCCTGGAGGAGGTGGGCCCAGAGCTGTCTCAGGTACCAGGTGCAGTTCCTGTGCCCTGATTCCTGTGCCAGCAGTGCCACTGTGGCTGTGTGCCTCTGCCTGTGGGGTCGTGCCAACACAGCAATGAGCTCTGGTCCTGCACGGAGCTGGGTACTGGTGGGTGGACTCCGCAGGCAGCTCGCGAAGAGTCCAGAGTGCAGCTGGGAGCTCAGAGATCTCCAGGGCCTGCTGTGCTTCCCTGGTGGCCTCTGTGAGTCACCAAATGGCTCTGCGGGTCATGATTAGTGGCTACTGGCAGTGTAGTGCTGTGAGCACTGTACTGCACTGTACTATATCTGTACTATACGTCAGTCCTGGACTGGGAGCTCATGTAGGCTGGGGCTGAATTCTCACAAGGCTTTTCTTCCGTGCAAAGACTTCAGATGACAAAGAACTGTGAAAACTTAGTCCCATTAATAAAACTGATAAACTGTGTAGTGACATGTAGTTGCCAGGTCAAGAACACCGACCTAACCAAGGGCACTTGGGCTCATGCTTAGCTCCCTCCCCATTTACCGCAATGCTTTAATTCCTTCCTCATTCCTCTTGCTTGTAAGGTGTTCTCAAAATAAAGCACATGGTAGATAAGGATTTCAAACTGGACCTTGGCAGGTACAGATAAGCACTCAGGGAAAACTGAGATACAGGAAGGAGAGGAAAGAAAGGGCTGTGGGAATTGCTTGCAAAGGATGTGTTGAGCATAATGTATTATATGAGCTGACCCTGTTTCAGGGTAGGCAGGCCATTTCTTAGAAGGGCAGGGAGTTTCCCTGTAGTGGAAAGTAGGTTCTGTTAGTTTGGTTATTAGCAGACTGGGTTCTTTGATGCCACAAGGTCTGGTTTGGGTTTTTAAAGTTTTATATGTTCTGCCCAATAAATGCTTGAGTGTTTTTCTTTTTATCCAGTGCTGGTCTTTGCTTTCAGTTTTGTCCTAGCATGTTTACTCACTTCTCAAGTTGACTACAAAACTGAAATGGAAAAGAATGGTATTTTTAACCCATTTGTAAGAGAAAAAAAAATGTCTGCCATGTAGTGAGCATACACTGTTGTTCCAAGCATCCTTAGAAAGAAATAGCTCTGTCAGTCTTTACCTCTGTCCTTACACTAATCCCTTGAATGACTCAAATTGGTTTTGCAAAGTTAGAAGCATATTATTTTTAACTGTATTTCTTTGTGAAGGCAGTATCTTTCTGGATTCATTTCCCCGTCTGGGAAACTGCTGGTGGGACTAGACATCTGGGGTGAAGCACAACCAACTTCCAGCCGCAGCTCAAGCCAGTCTGTTGGAGGTGAGCAGGAGAACATAGTCGCAGGTGCTGGCAGCAGGAAAGGTTCCTGTGGTTTCTCAGCTGGAAACAGCTGGTTTGGTGAGCTGTGGGAATCCCCAGACTAAGTGGGACACCTTCCCCCAGCACCCCCGAGTTTTGACGGCAGTGAAGATGAGGGAGGGAGGCTGAACTGCAAGACCTGGAGTGGATTTAGACTGCAGATGTATTTTCTTTCTAGCTGGGTTCTTGCCTCAGAAGAGTTGACTGCAGTGGCTCTGGCATGGCAGCTGCCACCAAACTGGTTATGGTGGGAGTATCAGGATGAGACAGTAGTACACATTCTGAGGTCTGCCTGCTCTTTGGGAAAACTATCCTCCTGGCTCTCTGGCCAGACTAGATCCGTGATAGAGACACTGCTGGCCCTGTGTGCAAATATCAGTTTGGCTTCTTCCTGGGGAATGTCTTCTGTTCAACACCTTCAGCAAACAGAGCACCAGATCAGAAAGCTTGACTCCAGCTGAGCTGTCTCACAAATAAGTCAGTCTACTCTCCAATAATCAGTCTTTCATAGTGGCTGAATGGTACCTGTGGATTAAATCTGTCTGAACTTGCTTTGGCATTATCTCAATTCATTTGGCAATTTATCTAGAAAAGGCTTATCTTACCAAGCAATCTCTGAACAGAAACAAATGCTTTGAAAATGGGGGGAGACATGAGAGGAGAGGAAGGATTGTGATAGTCCACACTTGCAAATTGGAAGTTGGGTATGTGGTATGCATAAGGGAAGGACAACTGTGTTTGTAAATTGGATGTAGTGGGAGTAGTGAATTTTTCAGGCCAAACTGCAACCTGTAGCCACATGTTTATGAGCTTTGTTCAGCTGAAAAGACTTCCTTTCCCAGCAGGTCTTATGTAAGAGAAGAAGAAAGACTCTTACTTCATCTTACTTTTTGCATATATGCAACACATTTGTTTTTCTTAAAGTGTCTTTTTTTTTTTTTATGGACTCTTTCTCCTTTCTTAAATTTGTGCAGTTCTTGTACAAGATAGTCTTCAACAGAGATTCTATTTGACTTGGAAAAGGGAAAACCCTATATTATCTAGTCTGCAGACATCATCTTTGTGACAGTTATGATCAGAATTTCCACATCATAATGGAATTTAGCACATCTACTACTGATTTTATATAAAAGTTCACACAAAAACTCAGCAGCAGTGTTTTCACTTACCTGGAGTTCCCAGGACAAGCTCTGGTGAGCAGGTTTTCATCAATATGAAGACAGGACAAGGGACTCTTCACTTTTCTGTCAGGCTCTGCGTACTTCTTGCCTTGTGTTGGATGCCACTGATTGGGAAACAAGAAGGGAAATGTCAGAGTAAGGCTCTGTGCTGCCTTTGCCTTTCTAAGGCTGCCTGTGTGGTCACTGGTAACACAGCACTATTCCTGCTCACCCTCCTGCAGCCCTGGAGCTGCAGGGCAGGAGCCCAGGCTGGGAGCTCTGTCTGTCCGTCCGTGCCTGCTCACAGCGACAGGAACCCACAGCCTGCGGTGCTACACAAACCTTGGTGTCTGCATAAGCTTCTACCACAGAACTGATCTAATCAAATAAGTAGCCAAGCTGAGCCCCAGCTGTGTCCAGCTGAACTCCTGGTTGTGACCAAGCTTGCCCAGATCCCACCTGCGCAGAGCTCGGGCTGCTACTCCAGTTCCAATGCTGTGAACTGCATTTCACCCAAGGAAAGCCCCAGTCAGTGTTCCAGCTGCATGCTAGAGACCGGTGTACAGCAATGAGTCAGCATTGGCTACACAAATTTATCA